ATTCAAATTTATTTGCCATGTACTTGATATTTTTGGCAACAAGGAAGAGATGGAAATATTAGCATGTGTTTGGTCACATCCCAGATAGCAAAATTCCTGAGGCCTATCAGGCCCACACCTGACACTTTCATCTGGCCCACATACCTCGTGGAATGATGGGAATTGGGCGGTCCGCTCCTGTTTGCCAGATTTGGGCCACAAGCAAGCCAAAAGATGGCCCAATGTCAGCCATGAATAAACCAAATAAAGCAGAACTATTAAAACCCATTTAAGCCCACCGGCAACTATAGTTGCAGCAGTTTATATTTGTCATTTTCCTTTTGCAAGTATTTTTCTAGATGTTATCCATGTTTTATTTCTCAATGATATGCAAGCAAACAACCAAACAAAGGATTTCAAGAAAAAAAAAAAAAGGTATTCACTTCGTTCCTGTCACATGAGGCTGTCAAGTTTCTACCCCTACTTCCAAGGAAGCATGGCGAAGACAAACACTCCCAAAGAAATTTTATTTTCATGTTACTAGTAAGTATTTTTTGTTGACATATATATATATATATATATCTACATAATCATGAAGGTCTCTAGAATCATCCAAACAAAACAAATCTTACAGGAGATGTATATTTTTTTGTATACTTAGTCAAAAGTCCAAGCGGCAACTACAGTTGGTGGGCAAATGACTTGCAAGTACATATCATGGGGAAATGGGGTATACTGTGTTAATAGGTTAATAAATCAAGGTTATTGGTCTTGTTTTCTGCTTTTTGCTTTCATAATATCCCACCTAAAACATAACTTAACCCTTTAACTGACATCTCTACTGTACAGTAGACCTTAATTTGATAGGGAATAAATCTGTCAAAAGGAGGAGATGAGGGAGCAATCTTTCCACAGCTCTACTGCCCCAGTTCTGTCTGCTTTTGTCATGGGGGCTGGGAATTTCCAGTTGACAGCAGCAGTTTACAAACTTCCGTCAGTCACACAAAAGGAAGAATGGAAAGATAAAGAGCTAACGCATGGGATTAATGGCTGTAGATTATATTTTTATCCCTTTTATGACATTATGTCTTGTAAGGGGCAAAATATTGAGGCCCCTTTATCCAGTTTGGAATTCTTTCAGGTATACCTTTTTAATTATATAGAAGTAATATTTTATTCATTCTATTTATTTTTATTTATTTATTTTCATTTAACTAACACACCTCTAAGAATAAAAATACCTGCATGTTCAATAATAAGTAAATAAACAAACAAACAATCATGGGTGTAGCCTACACATGATAATTATTTAAATAATCATATTTTAAAAAGAATATCATTAATTTCATGAATATCAAGGACTTTTGTCAGGGTTAATCCATTTGACCTAATCAATATGTGCCTATTCATAAAATATGTGATATTTTACATATTTACATCACAAAGTATAGTATGCAAATATGTTTATGTAAATTTATAAAACTACTTGTACCTTCACTGCAGTACTCCTTGTAGGCTACTTATACTAAAACTGCTTACGTAAGGGAATGTTCACCCAAAAATGGAAATTGTGTCATAATTTAGTGACCCTCAATTTGCAAACCTATGAGATTCTTTCTTCTGTTGAGCACAAAAGAAGATATTTTGCAGAATGTTGGTATCCAAACAGTTAAATGCGTAATTTTCTTTCAGGTATACCTTTTTTTATTATATAGAATATTTTCTATATTTCTACATAAATATATTTAATATTTTCTTCATTCTATTTATTTTTATTTATTTATTTTCATTTAACTTTTTGATACACAATACCCTGTTGGGGCAACTTAATGGCTGCACTTTGTTCTGCACTACGTTCCACCACTTTAAAGGGGTCATATGACGTTGCTAAAAAAGAACAATATTTTGTGTATTTGGTGTAATGAAATGTGTTTATGCGGTTTAAGGTTCAAAAAACATTATTTTCTACATACTGTACATTATTGTTTCTCCTCTATGCCCCGCCTTTCTGAAATGTGTCGATTTTTACAAAGCTCATCGTTCTGAAAAGCAAGGTGTGCTCTGATTGGCCAGCTATCCAGTGCGTTGTGATTGGCCGAATACCTCAAGCGTGTGACGGAAATGTTACGCCCCTTACCATACTGTGATGCCTTGTCCTGGCGTGACGAGACGAAACCAATAAAACCCATTACAAACTAAGCATTTGTAGCATCCAGTGGGGACATAATTACTGATTATAATGACTTAAACTGTATTTTTACGCGTTGCATCGCGCCGCGTAAACATAAAACCATGTCTGCATTTGTGATCGGAGAAATGACAAACTAGC